CTCTATCTCTCTGGCCACCATTCTACCCCAAACTATTTCCACTACCTTCTGTTCAAGTACTACAACAGCCCAGCTGGTATTCCTGCTTTTACTTCAGTGCCTATACCAGAGTATCCAAAGACTAGGCAGAGTGATCTGCATGAAATATAAAGCAAATAATTTTTCTTTCCCCGTGCAAATTCTTCCAAAAGCTCCCACTTTCAGATTAAAAAAACAAAACAAAAAAAACTACATAATCCTTCCATTGATTCCCCCCACCCCCCCCAGCCCCCCTGGGGATTTAACCCAGGGGTACTTAACCATGAGCCACATTCCCATTCCTTTTTATTTTTCATTTTGAGAAAGTCATATGCTAAGGGTCTTGCTAAATTGCTGAGGCTGGCCTAGAACTTTCAAGAACTCAACCTCCTGAATCCCTAGAATTATAGGAGTGTATCACCAAGCTGGCTTTTCCATGGATTTCAAGACACTGTTATTCTAGCTCCTGAGACCTTTCTGTCCCTATCTCACTTAGCTTCTCTCATGCTCTGCCCCATATAGGTCATGCTTGTGCTCCTTTGTGGCACTATGAATTTATCTGGAGCTGCCTGGAATGATCTTACCTCATATCTGGCCTCATGGGTCCCCAGAGAGACTCCCTTCTGCATTCACTCTATCCCACCCCATTCTGCAAGCAAGTTATTCAGGTTATTTCCTTCATAGCACTTTTTATGATCTAATAAAAAAAATTAACCTATGCTTTCATCTGTTACTTCATTCCCCCACATTGGATAGGATATACATTTCCAGAGAACAGGAATCTCACTTCTCTTGCTTGCTAATGTATCTAAGAATCCTAAAACACTGCCTGTGAGAAATTCAAGAAAAACTGAATCTCACCTGGACACACGGGCCTATGGCTGTAATTCCAGCCCAGCTACTCAGGAACTGGGGCAGGAGGCTTTTATAAAGTTCCATAGCAGCCTTGGCAAGTTCAAGGACAATCCTGGTTAACTTGCAAGACCTTACCTCAAAATAAAAAATAAAAAGGTTTGGGAGATGTAGCTCCAAGGTAAAGCACTCTGGTGTTCACCCCCAGTGCCCCTCCCCTCTGCCAAAAAATAAAAAAGAAGTTGAATCTCCAACAAGGGTCCCAAGTGGTACACTGTGCCTAAAATTTTATGAATTCTGTGTTCTTGGAGGAACCCTGATCTTTGTGGCCCTTACCTTGGTGGCATTTTACTGTTTGGATAAACAGGTTCCTATCCTCTGGAAAGTCATATTTTGCTGCTGAGACCTACAGTCGTAGCAAGTATCAATCAATTAGGACTGGTCAGGATGACTATCCTTCATTTACATAAAACTAATCAATCAGGAGTAAGCTTCAAGCATACCTCATTTGCATAGGCAGTGGGAGCTGGGGCAGGAACTTTCTCTAAAATACTCCCTCACCCAACCTAGTTCCTTCTAGATATAATTTCCTTTTTTAGTACCAATGGCTGCTTCTTCCCGGTTTGCAAACTTTTGGGGGGATTGTGGGAATGGGGGATAGTTGTTGCTGGGGATTGAACCCAAGGCCTCACACAAGTTTAGCAAGAGACCTTTGGCTGAGCCACACCCACCACATACCACCACCATTCATTCCCCTCCCCCACTTTTTAATACAGTTTTGTTAAATTGACCAGGCTGACCTCAAACTTATGTTCCTGCTGCTTCAGCTTCCTCAGTACCTGGGAGACTGAGGGGTTGGCTACCACACCAGGCTATTTTCTTTCCTTGCGTCTTCCCCTTTCTTTTCTTTTCTTTTTTTTTTTTTTAATTTAAATAAGGCCTCCCATTTTTCTTGTATTATTTTATTGTGATTTTTGTTATACCTGTCACCTAGAATACATTTAATAAATATTTGTAAATAAATTAATATGTTTACATAAACTATGTCTTTTAAAGTTCTTAAAAACTTAAAAAATGTCAGTAACATTTTTCTATATTTCTATATTTCATATTTTCTATATCATTTAATAATCCAAAATGGTAGGGCCTAAAAATGTATACTATAACATGGGACTAAAATCAGAAGGCCTGGGCTGGGGCTGGGGCTCAATGGTAGAGTGCTCACCTAGCATGCATGAGGCACTGGGTTCGATCCTCAGCACCACATAAAAATAAAAAATAAAGATATTGTGTCCACCTAAAACTAAAAAATAAATATTAAAAAAATAATTTAAAAAATCAAAAGGCTTAATTGAAGTAGACCAATCCACAAACTGTACCTATAACATCCCCATATCAAAATTCTTCTTGGACTGGGGTTGTAGCTCAGTGGTAGAGTGCTTGCCTTGCATGCGTGAGGCCCTGGGTTCGGTCCCCAGCACTACATAAAAATAAACAAATAAAGATATTGTGTATCCATCTACAAATAAAAAGAATATTTAAAAAAAAAAAATTCTTCTTGCTAGCCATGAGTGGTAGAGTATGCCTGTAGTGCTAGAGCATCCAAGCAATTTGGGAGGTTGAGACAGGAGCATGGCAAGTTTAAGGCCAATCTGGGCAATTTAAGGAGACCTTGTCTCAGAATAAAAAATAAAAAGGGCTAGGGATATGGCTCAGTGATAAGTGCCTCTGGGCTTAATCCTCAGTACCAAAATAAAAAATCAAAACAAAAACTTTTACTTTGATTACAGAGGGATGAGGGGCAGGTACTGTTAGAAAGGAAACAAAGGTAGGGGATGGGAAAGGTGCCAATGTGAGTTTATTCCTATGGGCACTCCTTCTTGAAGGGCACCTGACTACAAGAGAATTGTTGGTGAGGAATGCTCCCAAAAGCTACTTTGTATAATCAGCAGAGAGACTAATTATCACAAACTTCTCTCCCTAGACATAAGCACATTCCTTCCACCCACTATTGATACCTAAGTCTTCATAACCCCCTGTATTGTTACTTCTCTAGGTTTTAAAGAGAATCTTTGACTGTGTCCCATAAATGTATGGTTCTGTTGCTGAACTGCTACTTAAATGTATTTTAAAAGGCTCTGAGAGTACCTTTAATTGATTAGTTTGTGTACAGTTTGGTGGAGAGAGGAGAGAATAAATGAATATGGTAAGGAGAAAATGAAATGACATCAAACTGGGGGCAGAAACTCCATTTTGAGGAGTTCATTGTCTAGAATATTAAGGGATTTATTTGTGTATTTAACTCATTATGCCACACCCAACTGTCCCCCAGAATAACACAGTTTAAAAAAAAATTACTAATCTCTAAAATAAGGATGAAATAAGGCGAGATTGAAGAAGTAAGCAGGATAGGATAGTGGATTTTAAGAAAGACAAAGTCTAGGGGTAATAGCACAGTGGTGGATCACTAGCCTAGCATGCGGAAGGCCCTGGATTCACCCCCAGCACCACAAAAACAAACACATAATTAAAAAAAAAAATTAAAGAGAAAAATAAGATTATAGCCTAGGTACTATAATCCCACATTTATTAACTGATGAGACTATTTACTTCTGAGATTTAACAACAGAAAATGTAGTTAACTTGGGAATAGTTTTAATCAAAAAGCAAGTGCTAGACATAGCTAGCATTTGCCTTTCTCTGTACTATATTTATTATAATTCCAACTTGCTAAATTGATATGTCTTCCAGAACATAGTCCCACAACACTTAACACACCATAGTCCTCCTATTCTGTCTCTACAATAACACAGATCTCTCAAAGAAGAGAGGGGAGGAAAAAAAAAATTTAATTATCCAATTTTTCCAATAGGAGGAAAAGATCTACCTAGCAGTGACTAGCCACAAGATTATTAAAAAAAAAAAAAAAAAAAAACTGCACAGGAAATATTTTAAATTAATCTTAAGAATGAATCTTCGCAAGTCACAGCATAACCTGGAGTTTTTTTTTTTGTTGTTTTTTTTTTTTTTTTTTTCAGATGGGAAGAAGCAAGAAGACCTCAGAATATTTTATACAATTTATTTTGCTAATACTGAAGGGAAATCAAACAAGACTGCAGGTTGTAGTTAGTAAAGAAGATGAAGAAGAGGCAAATGTAGATACTTTATTATTTACTATCACATTTTTACCTCAGCCTCTGTTCATTTTCACTATCCTTTAAAACTCCCTATTATTTCATTCCCTGAATCACAGCATATATGCTGAAGAAAGCTCTTAAGAGAGGACAGTTGGCAACAATGGAACAAATGTAATTAACTCTTGTGGATGAGAACTCCCCTCAAGTACTCAAATCCTGGGCTCTGCACAAGTGAATCAACCAGACTTTGCATTTTCTTACAAGAAATTCACATGTATCTTATGTGTCACAACCCATGTAATACATGCACCACATACCTGAGAAAGATCAGTAGTACTGTGGCTTGACAATGATAATCCAGCTGTGCTGATGTTTATTATGAATTATGGATATACCTTTCAAATTACTGTTCTGCTGTATTAATTCCTGGTGAAGGTGAGCTGGGGGAGAAAGCAGACAATGCTGCTTCATGATAATATTTAGTAAAAAAATGAGATGGGAATGCATTGAAACAGCATTCTAGAGACCATGGAAACCTGTGGCCCAAGGGAACGGTACTTTGTCCTATGGAGCTGCTTCTGAAGGAATGGCTATGACCAGCAAAGTCAGAAATACTGACTTACAGCCACTCTTAAATCTCCCTGATGGGCTGGGGTGTAGCTCAGTGGTAGAACACTTGCCTAGCGTCTGGGTTCAATCCCCAGCCTCACAAAATTTTTTTTAAATGTAATCTTAAAATCATTGCTGACTAGAGCAGGCTAGAAAACTACTGAGTGGCCATCTGTTATGAAAAAGTTTGGCAAATGTACTTAATACTCTATAGTCAAAAAGAAAAGCATGGAAAACAGACAAACTGAGCTTTTGAGTGGCCCAGGAGAGGAAGGCTTGTGTCACATGTGTTCATAAGTTATAAGGTGACTGGCAGACACATATCACAATTGTTCATTTCAACTGCAATCCACCTCACAAACAGAAGTGAATTCTCCTACTTACATCAAATGGAGCAGAACTTGACTGTGCATTCTGATTACATGGTTCCCTGAAGCAGTCACTAAAAGGAAGTAAAAGACCCATGGCAATGATCCGTGAGCAAAATTTCTCTGCTTCTTCTGGAGGCCCGTTCTCTTGCTGGCTGAACAGCTTCTCCAGCAGAGTTCGCCCTGCGGACGAAACACGGTCATTAGGCGGGAATACTGGTAGATCACCTGGCTAGTAGCTCTCCAGGGAAGAGAGGAAGCAAACACAGCAGCACCGTTTCCAAGACTACTGACATGCGCAGAAAGGAGCCTCTCAAACCCGGCAAAACTGCGATCTGAGGCCTGAGACACCGCATAGGAAAGGGCAGCAGGGGGTTCCTCTCCCATCCCAATAAATAACTCCTGCCTTGAAAAGGAATGCCCCAAGTTACCAGCTGTACATCCTTCCTCTAAATGAACACCCTCCCCTTTTAGATTTAATTAGCAATTCTACTTTCTTTCTTTCTTTTCTTTTTTTTTTTTTTTGTTTACCCTTAAGAGAGTTCTCTAGCAAGCCCTTAGTAACCCAAGGAGCCACCATTTGGGCTTAGAAATGTCAGTGACTGACATTCATAGACTCAGACCTGGCAATGGGGAAGGATGAGGAATGAAGACACTAACGAGACAGGCAAAGACAGCTACCCATGAAAAAGGAAAGAGAGTTTTCTAAGGAAATTGCTTTCAAGTGCTTCTCGGAAGTGTAATTCTATAATGAGTCTAGATTTAAGGGACTTTTATTATTATTTCCCTAAAAGAGACAGAAGAAGAGAGATACAGTGAGAGGACACCGGCCAAGGACCCTAGAGGACATGTGTCCCCCCTTCCAAGGTTCTCAATCTTGGCTGTGTTAGCAAAAGAAGATGAGGTTTTGATAAAAAGGAAAAAGAAGGTTTACTGATTTGCTACCAAAGGAGAAACATAGGAGACTCCTGTCCCAGAGGCTGTGATTCTGCCCATCAGGGAGAACACAGAATTTTTAAAGACTCACTCCTGGTGTTCCCATGGGGGAATGTGATTCACTTGTTAATTTGGGAGATAGTGATTTCTTAAGATGTTTCTGGCCCTATCCCAGAAGTCTGAATTACTTTGTTCCTATGGTGGGTGTGTGCTGTAAAGCAGATGAATGGGAAAAAAAGGTAATCTTGTCCCCCTGCCCCCAGGTTGTGGAAGGAGAGAGGGAGAAGAGGAAAAGAAAACATGCTCATTTTACAATCAGCCTCACTGGGAGATCAGCAAGGGTTATATTTGAAGTATGAGGTGGGTCACCATTACATTAGATCACCTGGGGAAAACAGAATTGTTGAAAGCCTGGGTATTTTATTGGTCAACATTTGATTTTGCCAGATGTGAGAACCATAGATGCAATTCCTAATCTATTTTTGACATTACTAACTCTATTCTTCAAAAATGTATGTACCTTGTGTCTGCATTCATAAACTACAGCAAAGAAAATGCAAAATCTCAGGGTCCCTTCCAGGGTCACAGCTGCTCCTCGGTTCTTGCACTAATGCTGTCCCTCCCTCTAATTTATAATTAGTTTATTATTTTTCAACTTTAGATAAAAATTACTGATCCAGAAAAGCCTTCAATGACCTCCTTCCATACCCTTTTGTAACCCTTAATAAAAGCTCCTTTAGATAACGATTTTAATTAAAGAAGTGTAAGGGTCCCGCGAAACGTCGGAGAAAGAGACCACCAAGTGACCACTCATGCAATTGGCAGAAGGGGGGGTTTATTGAACCAGCATGCTGGGGCTCTGTGCCCACTCAAGAAGGGAAAGCAGCCCAGAGCCCCGAGCAGGGGCTGAGGATTGCTTAAGTACACTTTTTGGGGAGGGCGGAGGGCTTTGTATACATCAGAACAAATCATCATTAGGCGCGGGAAAATTGAACAACAACTCCTAAACATGATTGGTTCATTCATTGGCGGGAACAGGTCAGGCTGGAGTGATAGGTCATTCCTAAGGAGGGGGTTACATTTAAACTGATTGGTCCAGGCCCTGCAATGCCTGCGTGCAACCACACAGACCCCTTCAGTTATTAAACAACCAGACAATCAGGGGAAATGTTTACTGGGCGGTTCTAAGCATTGTCTTAACAGCTAACTCAGACCTTGCAGCTTAGAAACTTTTACAACACCTGGTCTTTTACCCTTTAACTTTTACGCTTTAACTTCAATTTCTTTTACCCTTACAGAAGTGATTGTGAAACCTTTCATTTTTTAAATGTCTATTTGTAACAATGGTCCACATTATGCTTTGAATATAGCCCTTGCTGCTCTGCCACTGTTGACTTCTTTTTAAAATGGACACATTTAATTCTCTTCCTCTCTCCTGGCTCCTCCCTATTCTCCCCACCCCACCCCAGCCCCAGCCCAATCTCAAGGGAAACAGGATTACCTTTCTTACTGTTGTAGCCAGAGTTATCTGTCCTTGAGCACACACCCACCACAGGAACAAATTAATTCAGATTTTTGGGATAGCACCAAAAAATCACAGAAATGACTATCTCTGCCAGACACAGGGGCACACACCTGTAACACCAGTGAATGGGGAGGCGATTTCAAAGTCAGCCTCAGCAACTCATTGAGAGGCCCTAAGCAACTTAGTGAGACCCTGTGTCTAAATAAAATATAAAAAATGGGATGGGAATGTGGTTCAGTGGTTAAGTGCCCCTGGGTTCAATTCCCAGTCGCCCCACCACCCCACAAAAAAAAAAAAGAAAGAAAGAAAGAGAGAAAAGAAGAAATGACTATCTCCCAAATTAACGAGTGAATTATAACTCTGGACAGAACATATGGAATGTAACCTTTGAATCATCTCTTTAAAAGCTCATCTTGATGGGCAGAATCACAGACTCTGGAACAGGAAGGAGTCCCATGTGTTTCTCCTTTGCTAGCAAACAATAAACCTTTTTTCCTTTTTCTCAAAGCCATGTTCCATATTGTTTGATTGGCATCAGGGACAAGGACCAAACTTTCAGTAACAGTGTCTTACTTAAATTGTAAACTGACAGTTGGTATATATCCTGCAAATCTGGCCACTTGCATGTAAAAAGCATTGAAAAATATTTAGAGAAATTCTGGATGCATACAATGCTCTGACTCTGTGATGCAGATTCATTCACATCATGAGTCAGAATGTAGCAGAGGAATTGTCCTTCCACTTCTTCTGCCCCCATCCCCTGAGTCCTTTTGCCTTGTATTCTAAATTCTAAAGAGTGGCCTCACTGGGCTGGGGATGTGGCTCAAGCGGTAGCTCGCTCGCCTGGCATGCATGCGACCCAGGTTCAATCCTCAGCACCACATACAAACAAAGATGTTGTGTCCGCCAAAAACTAAAAAATAAATATTAAAAAAAGAGTGGCCTCACTTAAATAGTTCAGATAGTTCAAATATTAACTGCTGAAAAACCAGCCTCTACCTCAGAGCAAAGCCTGTCCAAGGAAGGGAGCTTGACCCTTGTCCTTGGAAAGACCTACAGAGCACTCCTAGGCACATACCCACCCTGCTGAGTTGTTTATCTACAAATAACAGGAGAGATCTGCTGTGTGAGGTGTCCCTGACTCAGTCAGGCTAGGTGGGGACCCATAGCAACCCCCTAGCAACCACCAATCAGCATGAGACAGGGAAAATATCTGGGATGCCAGATGACCCTCCCAGTAGTTTGTGGTGGTTGATAACATGTTGGGAAACCATGTAGTTCAGTTCAAATGAATCCCCCTCTTGTACTAACCAATCACCTTTACCCAACTTGTTCCCGCACAGTGAATGTGCTAATCATGTTTTAGAGATGTTTTATGATTTTCCCGAGGTGTGTGATGATTTGCTAAGAGATGCTATGATGTATGTGAAGTCTCTGCCTTCCCCAAAGAGTGTATAAAACTGCTGCAAACCCTGGGCCTCTCAGTGTCACCAGTTGCTGTGTGTGCGAGGAGGACCGAGCTAGCTCACAATAAACACTTCTTTGCTGCTTACATCCATCTTGGTCTCTGGTGGTCTTTTGGGGGTCCTGAATTAGAGCATAACACTGCTAAGAGAGTTTTCTTTAGAACCCAGGACTTCTGGTAACCACTAAAATACTCCCTTTTTTCTTTAATTCTATGGCAAATTACATTTATTTTGTCATCAACTAAGCAAAGCATATAAATTAACTTGGAGAAGAGTAATAGTCTGTCTGAAAAAAAATCCAGGAGCTGCCCTACCTGACAGCCTCACTGTACCTCCCTTTCATCCTCATAAAAGCCCTTTGTGCATCTGACCCGCTTCCCACCAGAACAGCTTTGTGACAAAGAAGTCCTCTTCTCCTCCTTAAGTTGGTGTTACCAATAACATCTGTTTCCTTGCTTCAATACCTTGTCTCTCAATTTAATTGGCTGGTTGTGAGTCAAGCAGCCAAAGCTTAATTCCAGTAAAAAGAATTAGAAATGAAATGTCAATCTATATCATCAAATTATTTCCGTAAAACTCCAAATAATAAATATTTTTGCCTTTGAGAGAAACATAAGGTCGCTGTTGCATTCTTCCAAATTCTTCTCTGGTTTGTGTTTTTATTTCGTGTTTTTATTTTGATACTACAGATTGTACCTAGGGTTGCCCTAACACTAAGTTAAAAATCTCCAGGCTTTTTTTTTTTTTTAATTTTGAAATATCTCAATAAATTGCCAGGCCAAACTCTTGTTTTAAGATCATGTCATACCCACTCCCTGTGACCAGGTCCCTATTTCCCCTTGGAACTAGGTCATCAAGACCCTCACAAGGGAAATTCCCTGAGGGTTATACAAAGGTTAACAAATCACTTAAGGGGAGAATGTGAAACTAAAATACTGTTAAATGCCTCAGGCTCTGTAAGACAGACATGGGGGCACACACACACACACACACACTCACACAGTCTTCTCTGGAAGAAGTCCATGTAGTCCCTATACTATAATTATTCTCACTTTTTTTTTCCCCTAATAAACTCCTGCTTGTTACCGTAGGCAATGTGCATGATTTTTCTTCCCGGTGAATCACAAGAACTGGTGGCTTATAGACCCCACAGTCACTTTGGTACCTTGGTTGGGTCTCCCCTGCAACATACTATACACACATTACAAAAAGACCAAAAACAGCTCTAAGACTACCATAGTTCTTTCCTACAAACT